TTCGTCGGCAAGAGGATCCGCGCCCTCCCAGTAGCACGGCGGCACGTGCTCGTCTACGCAGTTGAACTCCACGACAGACATTGTCGCAGGCCTGAGTTGGAGCCTCTCAACCTGCACAGCAAGAAATGCCAACTCCTCAGTCGTGTCACCCGGATCGGGCGCGACACGGCTCCCAACGGGCATTAGCGGGATCCACGCACGAGGCAGAATGCGTGCGTGCCACCAACAACGCTAGATAGTCTCCAGTTCCACATCATCCCACGAATTGAAGAGCCACATCACCATCTCCCAAGCATTGAGCTTCAGCAAGTGCAGGGTGGACGTGCAGAGATAGGCTCTACAACGGGAGCAAGACTATGGGGAAGGCACATTGTGTGAGTGATCGCAGCGTTCTTTAGCGTTCTCTGGCACTTGCGTGTTCACGGGGCAAAACGGCAAGAGTTTCACTATAGAAAATTCAGAACAATGGTAGCAACAATGTTGGCAAAGATGACTACATCTGAAGCAAGTCTGCCTAGCATGGAAGCAGGTCGACCTCCAGCGCAGCATGGTCGACCCCGTTCCAGCGCTGCAAAGTCCGCACCGCTCCAGCGCTGCAGAAAGGCAGCTGGCCAACACTGCAAGTCGACGACGTGCCAATGCTGCAGCAAGGCGGGTGCACAGCGTTGCACCCCCATGACAGCAGTGCACCTGCTTCGCAGGTGCTTACGACTGGTTGGCGTGCTGCGCCACGTCACGTGCACAGCGCAGACGCCAGGTTGACCATGTGCCACTAACTGCGCTTGATCAGCTACGTCGACCTGGAAATACCACCTCCGAGGTCGGCTTCGCCAAAACCACCTGGGCAACTGTCGCGCACCCCGCGGAACCTCATCGACCTGGTTACTTGGTCGACTGGGACACCACCAGGTCGACATTGTGCTCGTCGACCACACAAGTCGACCAATCCCCAAGTCGACCAACTCCAGGTCCACCAGACTGGCTGTTAGCCGACTGCACCAAGTCGGCTTCACCAGGTCTTCATCACCAAGTCGACGCTCTCCAAGGCCGAGCTCCCAAAGTAAGCCTCCCAGAGTCGGTGCCCTCCCAAGTCGGCGCCCTTCCAGGTCGACGACTCCCTTTGCCGACCACCACGTTGATGTCGGCCGCCGGCTTCCCATGGTCGGCGACTTCGCAGTGGCCTCCCATGCAGGTCGACCAATTCCGTCGACCAGCTCGCCAAGTCGGCGTCGCCCACTGCAGTCGGTCATCTGCACCTCCCGCGCACTCGACCACGAAGTTGGCTCCGCCCAACTGAGGACGGCACCAACACCCAACTCCCGTTGTCAGGTCGGGCTCCCACTGCGGTCCCATTGGCGCAAGAGCTTAGCCATCCACTTCTGCCTGAATCCCGCCTTCAGCGCCTGAATGGCGCCCTAATTGAGAAGTTGAGAGAAGGTGGTGGTGTTTGGGGGAAGGTAGACAATGCGCATGTTGCTTAGCTTCTCGATGCGGAAGTCGAAAATGACTTCGCGAAAAACAGTTTCCGAGTCAACACGGTGGCTCGAAGCGTAGTCAACGAGGAGTATCACATGACGCTCCTGGGCAAAGAACGATGCATTTACCGCTTCAATGAAATGGTAAAAAAGCAGTCACAACTATTAGCAGCAGAATGGAATGAACTAGCAAGGGTTGGGTACAAATAGCAAACCCAAAAAATGTTGTACACCCTACTGCATTCGTCACTGTAGCCTATCACAAACATATATAATATTTGACACACCCACGTGGGCAAAGTGAGGGATAACTAGAGAGAGCAAGAACCACAAATGTTCACAAGATCGGTCAAGAGAAGCAACAAAGCGACGCTCAAGGTGGAACTCAAGATCACCACACAGTCCGAGCACAAGCAAACGACCACAAGGGCAGTTCACATGCAGTATTATAACAGCAAAAGCAATATAGTGGTCACAACCTAGCAAGCGTGCACGTGCACATATATGTATATATACATATATCTCGAAGTACAAAAAGTACAAGACGAGATCAAGAGGCAAGCAAGTGAGCCCGAGTAGGCACAAGGCCAAGAGCAGTGCAGAATCGCTGATGGTCACTAGGCCCAAGGGCCTTGGTGAAAATATCAGCAGTGTTGGCCTCGGAGGCAACGTAAGTAAGGCGAACCTGGCCACGCTGCTACAACTCTCGCAGGAGGAAGTAACAAAGTGCAATGTGCTTTATTCTGTGCTCGAGTTTCTGCCCCCGAGACAAGACAACCATGGCCTTGTTGTCAGCGTATAGAACCGGCGCAGAACGAGGCTGCTCACCCAAGTCGGTGAGCAAGTAGGTCAGCCACTTCTGCACAGCCATAGCCCCAGCGTACATCTCAGCCTCACAGATGGAACTGAGTAGAGAAGAAAAACGAGTGGACCTCTACGAAACATAACCAGTACCAAGGCTGAAAGTGTAACCATGTGTCGACCGAGAAGTCGCCTGGTCGTCAGCCCACGAAGCGTTTGAGTGTCCTGTGAGCACAACTGGACCGCCTCCCGCACAGCCTCTGACATCGCCGCCCTCGGCCCCTGCACGAGCACATGCCATTACCAATGACCTTGGCACCAAGGAGACTACCGCCTAGGTAGACATCCCGCGGGGAGATGCACCCACGTCCGTTTCAAAAGCCTTGGGATAAGCAATAGGAAAGCATCGACAAGTTCCGCAGGAGGGTCTTAGGCACGCCGAAGTAGATTGACATGTCGAGGTAAGGCATTGCAGATTTGAAGTACTTGATTGGAACCAAGCAAGACGTTTCCAGCGGGATGCCACTGCGCTCCACGAAGTGGCTCATCCGGAAGGCAATGACGGGAGAGATTTGCGCCAGCACCTCGCGCGATATGCAGAAACGCATTGATGAAGTTCTCGTCGTCCATTAATTGCAGCTCCTCCATCCACTCAGCGATGCGGCGTGCACGACGCTCCTTACGTGCACGCTGTCGTCGCTCGAGCTTCATGCGATGTTCGTCATCCGAGTCAGCAGTGTCAGGTTGCATTGTGATCCACTGCACGGTGGCGCTGGCGGCCAGGCGCTGGAAGGTTTCTATGTAGAAACCAAACAATATATGAAGGGCTATCAATAGGAGAAGACCTAGCCTGTGAGTCATGGCTGGCTTGTATAGCCACCTTGTTTTCTAAAGTGCTGCTCGTCGCTGCTCTTTAACCCAAAGTGTAGCATTGCTGTAACGCATTGTTGTCTGGTTGGTGCACTGCGGACCTATCCTGGTCGCGAACTGAGCTGATGTACAGCTCAGCGCCGCATCACGGCGTGCGTCGGATGACCATGGTTTATTTGCAGGCTATGGAAACAATAAGTCAATGATTCCCAGCGTGCTGCTTTTTTACATGCTTCGTTTGAATGTCAAACTTGCAATGCATGCTTTGGACGGTTGCAATGCTGGCACTGGACAGGGAACCGGTTGAGCGATCTGTGCTGTGTTTTGGGTGTGTTGTAAATGGTGCAGAGGTGACCTGTGGGATTGTCACCAGATGTTTAAATTTTGCTGCCACCAACTTCGAGGCGCACGCGGCTCGGGCTCAAAGTTGGTGGCATGCGCCAATCACGCATGCCACCAACAGTACCATGAACAATGGCCCTGCCATGAACATGGAATACGCTCTTGATTCTATTATTAATAGCAACCATTAAAATTATTATGTGCATAGTTTCTGTTTGATGTAATGTATCATTTACGAAAGATTTGCCATGCATGATATGAAAATGGACAGGTTAAATTGTTTTTATGTAGTCTTATTTTAGGGGATACAGTTCCGAAAATTTCGCGCCAGCTGGTTCGGTCCAAACCATCCCCGAGTCGCCCCCGCACCATTCGCCACACTTCCGAGCCCCGTTTCCCGAGGTCCTCGCCTAGCTAGGGTTTCCCCTATATCATCCTCTCATTTCATTTTTTATCGTCACTCTCTTTGTAATCGCACTCGATATTCACTGATTCCGCGCACTATCCGCAATCATAAGCCCGCTTCTAGCGATAATAGATTCACACTCATGGCGAGCACAGCAGGGGATGGCTAATGACATGAGGAAAAAGCTGGCAGCGCGTTCTTTCGATTGATCGCAAACGACATGGTTAGTAGTTACGATAGACTAGGGTCAGTATCGTTGGGAAGTGTAAATGGTGCGCGCTGGTCCAGTCACAGCGGCAGCGGCGTCACGCGGTGCACGTCGGTGCTGCGCGCCTCGCCTGGCGTGCGCCCACCGCCCTTCCGCCAGGCGCACCTGCAGCCGCCTGGGCGGAACTGAAGCGGCAGGTGTGCGTGTGACGAGGCGGGTGAGATGCGTGCATTCACGCGCGAGCACCGTTGGCGGCCGCCACCAGTGGTGACGGGATGCGTGGGACTGCGGTGGTACGGAGTGACGCGAGGTGGGTGGGTGAAACAAGTCTACGGCGCAGCGACGCACGGCGCGGCTGGCCTGGCCGGCCTAGCAAGGAGAGCGGCGCCGTAGCTTGTTGAGTAGAAGAGAGGAGAGTAGTCGCGGCTGAAGGAGAGAGCTAGGAGAGTGACGCCGCGATTCAGAGATGTAGACGAGAGAGTAGATAGGAGAGATCCGAGCTAGGAGAGAAGTATCCAAGATTATAGAATAGAAGAAAGATGATACAAGAAGAATCAGGAAGAGATATTTATGCTAGCAGAAGAGAAACGTGACTCGGATAGGAAAACCTTGTCGCTACGTCTTTGGCATAGCATCTTGGCATAGCGCCTCGATGCTATGCCCTGCTGGACTATAAGGTATGACTGGGATAGGAGAGTGTTCTCGAGGCTAGCAAGTGCAGAGTTCGGAGCTAGCTAAGAGATACAACTTCTCCCATTTGGAGATTCCCATGCATGCTCGCATGGCAAATCCCGTATTGTTACAGTGGGCCATCCCCGCGTGCACACACCCACACCCGATCACCGCCCCGCTCCTACCAACCACCGCGCGTACCATCGTGGCGCTGCCCATCTGCCCGCTATGACTCGCTTGCGGGGGGCACCAGTCGTGCCACGCAACTCGCCATTCGCACCAGCACCGTCCGCCGAACGCGCCTTCGCACTGCATCACCTCGCATCGTGGGACTGCGCTGGCACGGAGTGATGCGAGGTGATACGGGAAATAGGCAGGCGGAAATAGGGACGGGAAATAGGCAGGTGGAAATAGGGACGATGGAAGTATGCACGACGAGAGTAGGAACAGAGAGCGTAGGGACGGGGAGAGTAGGGACGGGGAGAGTAGAGACAGGGAGAGTAGGGACTGGGAGAATAGGGACGGGGAGAATTGGGCCTGGGAGAATTGGGTGGGGGAGAGCAGGGACGAATAGATTAGGGACGGGGATAGTAGGGACGGGGAGAGTAGGGACGGGGAGAGCAGGGACGGGGAGAAGAGATTAGGGACGGGGAGAGTAGGGACGGGGAGAGCAGGGATGGGGAGAAGAGAATAGGCACGGGGTGAGTAGGGACGGGGGCAGTAGAGATGCAGAGAATAGGGACGAGGAAAGTAGGGACGGGGAGAATTGGGCCAGTGAGAGAAGGGACGGGGAGAGTAGGCACGGGGAGAGTAGGGACGGGGAGAGTAGGGACAGGGAGAGTAGGGATTGAGAGAGAAGGGACAGGGATAGTACTAGGGACGGGGAGAGTAGGGACGGGGAGTGTAGGGATGGGGAGAGTAGGGACGGGGAGTGTAGGGATGGGGATAGTAGGGACGGGGAGAGTAGGGACGGGGAGAGTAGGGACGGCGAGAGTAGGGACGGGGGAAGTGGGGACATGAAGCGGATGAGGGAGAATTAGAAATGGGGGGATAGGAATGCGAGGATGGGATGGGCATGAAGGGGACAGGGAAGAAGTGCCAATCGGTACGTTGAGCATCAATGCCTTTTTGGACTGAATTGAAGGACTCCATCAAACTCATTAAATGAATGAATCTGAACGACTCTCTTGTGTTTCAATGATGGTCCTGATTGTGTTTCACATGATATGACGAAGTGACACAGACATGCACAGTCGCCCCGTACCTTCCTCTTCCCCCATTCCGCAAGTTTCTCATTCTCTATTTGAAAGCTAACCCTCACCTTTGGTCTATTCCTTGATCTCCACACGCTGAATGCCGGTTTGTGTTTGAAGGCGATTTGTGAGTCGACTTGAAAATTATCTCAAGGACAAATTGATCTTCCTTTCCCCGGGCGCCCTTGCAGCTCTTCCTCTCATCTGGCCTGTGCATTGACTTGTCATTGCAAAATGCCCATTCCATCTTGGAGGCGCACTTACAATGCATCTTTTTCCCTTCTCATCGCCGTCCCCCTGACGCCCTTGCACCTATCCCTTTCCTCTGGACAGTCCCTTGAGCTCTCCTTGCCGAATACTGTTTGTGTTTCAGGCCACTCCCTCTTACCAGCCGCTAGGTCATCTTCCCTTGGCGACTTTGCAGCTCTTCCTTTTCTCCAGCTTGACCCTGATCTCACCTCACCACCTGCCAGCTTGTTCATGAGCCGCCTCAGAGCTTACCACCTTTCTATTTGCCCTTGCGCCTTTCTCCCTCCTCGCCGCATGCCGATTTGGCCTCTCGTTAACCAACTAGTGGCGCAGAGCTCGTGCTGCACGATAGGGGGAAACAGGGGCGAAGGGGGAGAAGGTGGCGGAGGGTAAGAACGGGGCGGAGGTGGAAAAGGGTTGTAAGGGGGAAAGCAGCAGAGCGGGCAATGAGGAACTTGCACGCTGACTGCAGGTATGTATGTATGCAGCAGAGCGAGCGGGCATGTATGGATGAGGAATATGTATGTATGTATGAGCGTTCCTGCAAACTCTTACTTGCACCTATGTGCCACGCGATGATCATTGATGTCCGGGCTTTTTCCAGCCAATGCATGCTCGTGCAATTACTATGCATCTGAACATACACGTGGCGTCTTCAGACCCTTGTGAACACCAGCCTCAAAAGTCGTTCGCTTGACATCTGAAACACACACATGTATTTCTCAACACCTTGTGCGCACCAGCCAGCCGATATGGCCAGTTCTTGTTGCTGCATCATTTGGGCTATGCATTCCACCGGTCATTTGGGCTATGCATTCCACCGGTCATTTGGGCTATGCATTCCACCGGCTATGCATTCCACCGGTCATTTGGGCTATGCATTCCACCGGTCATTTGGGCTATGCATTCCACCGGTCATTTGGGCTATGCATTCCACCGGCCCTTATGACCCCCCTCTTCATTATGCACGTTTCTTTGCCCGTTAATCACGTCACATGGCATCACGTGGCATAACGCATCATATGGACATGGCAGGCCATGTCATGGTGCATGATATGGTCACATCATGGCATGGCATGTCAGGGCATGACACGTCACGCCACGTCACATCATGTTGCATCATCTTGTCACGGACCATTGTATGTATTGGCATGAGAGCAGTAGGAGGAGGATGCAGCACTGGCACAGCAGCTGCAGCAGTCAGAAGCGCATGCCATGCTGCAGCAGCTGAGTGGGCGACAGGCGCCACAGCAGCATGGGGGGATGGGTGGTGGGGCCCATGGTCAGTCAGCAATGTCATGCAGGTGAGTGGAGTGTGGTGTGGTGTGGTGCCATGCGTTGAAGCACCTGGTATTGTGTGCGGAACGAGCAAGGGGTGGTTGGTGGGAAAGATGCAGGTGAATGCGGTGCAGTGCGATGTGGTGTAGTGCAGCACGCTATCCTGGGCTGTGATGCCATCAAACGCTTACCACTTATTTCAGTGCTAGTAAACACCTCACTCATTCCGATGCACGAGTCGACCCCCTCAAGTACCTGTTCTCCTTTGCTCTCCTTGCGTACCTTCATCCCCCTCCCATCCACCACACTCCACATTTCACCAGTACGAGTCAGGCCAAGGCATGCTCATTCATTCTCATGCCGCAGGTGACTCTTGAGTCTGCTAGATTTGTTCCTCATTTATCTCTCGTCCCCTCCACACTCCACACCCCACACCCCACACCCCACAATCCACATTCCATACTCCACACACTCCACACTCCAAATTCCACACTCTCCACACCCTACACTCCACACCCACTCCACGCTCCACATTCCACACTCCACACACTTTACACTCCACGCCCCTCCAGTACAAGGACCCATCACACCAGGCCAAGGCATGCTCGTTCATTCCCCTGCAGCAGCTCGAGAAAGTTTGCCACAGGGGGGATCGTCACATCACAGATCCTGGTTGGTTCGGGTCGATTCAGGTCAGGTCAGGTCAGGGGTTGGCTGATTCTCCTGACACAGCTCGAGGAGGCCGCTGCAATCTTGCTTGGTAAGGTTCACGTCAGTCCGCTTGGGGCATAGTCCTAGGTCCAAATCTGGCTGGCTGGTTTCACAGATCTTGGCTGACCTCAGTTGGCTTGCTGCGATCGAGACCGCCCTTAAACAACATCTTGGGGCATAGTCATAGGTCCAAATCTGGTTGGGTTGGGTCAGGACAGAACGGGTCAGGTCGGGCCGGGTTAGGCATGAGCAATGGGTCAGCCCGTCCCAGCCTGTCCCAACCGAAGCTGACCCAGGGCGGGTGCCGTGCCGGTCGGGTCGGGTCAAGATTTTTGGGTGGCTGACCCGACCTGAGCTTATAGGTTTGCGCAAACATGTTTGAGTTCGGATCGTGCTCATATCTAGGGCCGGGTCACCAGTGACCCGAGGGTGGGTCGGTAGTTTGTATGACGAATCAACGATTTCTCCCACCGATTCACGTGGTTTGGCAGATTTTGAGTGCCGGTGTGCGCGGATCGGCAATTTCGGTGGCCTCCGGCAGTACGGGAGGAGGGGTTGGGGGCAAAGGGTAACTAGGGTAACCCTAATGGTTGACTTCATTTGGCTTAGAATTACCAGAAAGTTGGAAGCAAAAACCATCTCAACATTCACGTTGCCCAATACCTCCCAATCAGCTGACCGTCGACCACCCCCAACAGCACATTACCGCATTCTTTCTACCGAAACCAATATCTCCTCTTCGCCCGCGTGCCTGCCTCCCATGTGTCCCCTGCCTGCTGGAACCCTTTTCCTGCTTTCCTCATGAGCTCCGCTGGTTCTACCAGATGCTGAAATCACTAGTTTGGCAGCCGTTGCTCAGTACCCTCGAGTCAAATCAGCCGCACCAGGAGCAGCAGAGCTGCAGGCAGCACCCAGCAGCACAAGGGGCACGGTGGAGAATGGTGTGTGTCGTTGCCCACGTGTTCTGGGGCAGATATTTCATCCCTTGTTCCATCTCCTCGCCCCTCCCTCCTGTGTTGAGGAGCTCTGCTGGTTCGCCCAGATAATGAAATCCCTAGCATGGGCCGAAATATCCGTCATGCAGTACTACGGTACCCTCGTGTCAAGCCAGCCGCGCCAGGAGCAACGGAGCTGCAGGCCACGGCGATCATAGCACACAGCAGCATGAGAAGCACGGTGGAGAGAAGATGATGTGTGTGCATGCGCACGTGTTCTGGGGCACCCCGCAGTCGACCTTGAGCAAGGATGTGATGCGGATGAGCTGGAGCATGGAGGATGTAGGGGTGAGGGAAATCAATAAGAAGACGAGGGCATGAGCTGGCATGCATAATCTGGAACTGTCCTTCTCTTGTGGAATACTTGTATCAAGAATCAAAACGTCACAAAATTGTGATGTGATCCTTATGGCATATCTAGCTAACTTGCACTGCCGTATTTCCATCTCAAAATGGTGAAACCCAAGCCTAGGAAGGTGTACACCAGGACGAGCACAAGCCACATCACAGATCAGGTATGGAACGGGGTTTGTGATTCACTGCTACATAAGAAGGGACATATTCACCTCAGTAGTTGGGGTATTGTTGTGCGATATCTCAGATCTGAAAGGGTTCGGGTTAGACGACTCTCAAACCTCATAATTACACAAATCCTGGCTGTACAGATATGTGCAAGTTCACAAATTCCCGATCCTGGCAACCACGAATCTCCTCAAACTCCCTCCCAACGCCCTCGAAACTCCTCCAAGCTCATCAAACCCCTCTCCACTCCTCTACGCGCCAGGGACAAAGTTCTGCGCGTACGCCCACGCGTTGTTGGCAGTGGGGTCAGCGAGGTGGTCCGCGAGGTTCTCGAGGGGCCCCTTGCCCGTCACGATCGCCTGCACGAAGAAGCCCAGCGCCGACACCTGCGCGAGGCGCCCGTTCTTGAGCTCCTTCACCTTCAGCTCCGCCGCCGCGTCGGGATCGTCCGCCAGCCCCAGCGGGTCGAACGCGCCGCCCGGGTAGACCGGATCCTCCACCTCCTGGAACCCCTCCAAACCGCCCACGCGGTAGCTCTCCACCGCGCCCAACAGTACCACCTGTGGCACGCGGATACGGGTTACCACGGTACAAGAGTGAGATCCCGTCGAACGAGCTAACGAAACTGAAATCGACGCAGTAATTGCGGAGAGCTGGAGTTTTTGGCGGCGAAACATGGAGTGAGATCCGTGTGAGAAAATGGACGAAATTTTCTTCACATGTACGCGAGCGAAACTAATAATAAACAGAGAAAAATGAATTTTGGAAGCCTTTGCAGCGCGACCCGCACGGCGAACACAAGGAGAGTGGGTCAGACGTGAACAAACGAACACACCTGGACGGCGAGCGTGGCGAGGATGCTCTGCGCGTGGATGAGCGCGGGGTTGCCCAGATAGTCGAGCCCGCCCTCGGAGAAGATCTGCGCGCCTGCCTTGAACCACACCGCCTCTTGCAGCGGCACGCCGTTGCGCGCCAGCAGCTCGGGGAAGACGATGCCAAGCGCGCCGAGCATGGCCCAGCGCGAGTGAATCACCTCCAGCTCGCGATTCTTGGCGAACGTCTCGGGGTCCGACGACAGCCCCGCCGTGTCCCACCCATAGTCACCGGGGAACTCGCCTTTCAGGTACGCGGGCGGCGCGCTGAACGGGCCCAGGAAGAGGCTGCGATCCGGGCCGTACCACTGGCTCAGGTTGTCAGAGGGTGCGGCCTTGCGCATCGTCACGCGACACTCCACGTTGCGGACCTTCGACGCGAGCTCCGCGTTGGAGCCGACGAATGCGGAAGCGGCGGATGCCGCGGTGGCGGAGGAGAGAGTAGCCATGACGCTGGAGGGAGAAGCTGAAGATGGCTGCACAAGTGAGTGTGGAATGAACTAGTTCGACGATTCGTTACGTGTGTTGGGAGGTATTTGTGTTGGAAAATTGAGGAGACCGAAACTTGAATTCTAGTGCAAAGCTCAATGGTCGAGTGTGAAATCGAGGCGCGGCTGCTACGCGATTCGGGATTGGGAAAATGCGAAGTTTTGTTCTTAGGCAATTTGCAAATTGTGACTTACCGAATTAGAGTGCACCACGTCAGCTCGGGGCTGAACATCAGATGTTTGTGCTCGGGAATTCTTCGAACTGGGACTGGTACATCCGGTCCAGCGAACTTGGTCCAGCTAATTCAACACTGTCCAACTTGAGAATTCGGTCTTCGATACAGGGTCCCTCGATGATTCTGGTGGTTGGAATGAGAACTTGTGAAGTTGTAACTGTTTAGTAACAATGTGTTTAGAACGAGAAGCTAGTAGGCCGAAGTAGGGTTCTCATCTCGTGCTGCCATAGCTGCCCCAAATTAGTGCCCGGTCTAAAAATAGGAGGTCGAGTTAGGTTGTGTAGCGAAGGAGGGGGATCTCTTTCGTTACACAGGAAGTAATTGTGTAGGCGAAGTTCAAATTCGCTGCACTTCGCTCAATTCGATTCGCGAGAGGAAACCAGAGTTGCGATTTGCAACTCTTACTTTGCATTTAGGGTCAAAATAGCTTCCGCAGTTCACAGTCTGCTGTCCCGTTGCGCTCCTATTTCAACTCGCTTTTACGTTTTCTATTCTAATCAACTGAGTCGCCAGCCAGTTAGCTCGCATCATGGCGGAGGTTAAAGTATCAGAGTAAGACCTAAAGCGCGTCGAGCGAATCGGCGCGCACTCGCACATTCGCGGGCTGGGGCTAGACGGCACGTTGGAAGCGCGAGGCGTGTCGCAGCGCGTGGTCGGACAGGGAAAAGCCACGCCGGGCAGCTGGAATTATCATGGCGATGACCAAGGAAGGAAAAATCGCAGGCCAGGGCAGAGCCGGGCAGCCCGGGTCCGGGAAATCGGCGATCGCGATGGGGATGGCGAAAGCGCTCGGTGAGGAGACAACTTTCGCGATGATGGCGGGCAGCGAAATAGTTTTGCTCGAGATGTCAAAGACCGAAGCGCTCACTCAGGTGCTTGCTGACCCGAGGCGCATTTCGCAGGGGATAGGGGGGAATGGGACCAAAGGGACGGGGGGAATGGGAAAGGAGTGAGTTGACGAGGAGATGGGGAAGCGGAGGGTTTTGGTGGAAAGGTGTGGGGGTAAGGGAGAAGTGAAGTAGAAGAGGAGGTGGGTGGAGGGATTTGCGAACAGGGTTTTTGGTAGGGGCTGAGTACGAACGCGCCCTGCGAGCGCTTCTGCCTTTAACGAGGATGAGGCCCTCGCGATCCGCGCCTCTCCGCATCCCCCGCCCTGTCCGATGCGCGTCTCCCAACAAGGATAGACAAGGTTTGGGGGGTTGACTAGGAATGAGGTGAATCAGCCTTTAACGAGGATGAGTTCCTTGCTGTGCAGGGTCATTGACCCTGATTCGGTGGATATGTGCCTTGCTCAGTTCTTCCCTCCGTTGCTGCTGCTAACCCTGCCTCTCTCCCTTCGCGCCATGCCTATCCGCGCCTGGTATGGCATTTTTGGCGCCAATGTGTAGACAAGGCAGCATGAATACCGGAGCGCTGCTTTTTCGTGCATCCAATTCCCCAAGGTGGCTCTCGCTGCCGCATTTTCTGTGCGGGAATGCACCTGGCAGCAATGCGCCAGTAGGTGAGTGTGGGGCCTCTCAGCTGATGGCGGGAAGGCACGACGCGAGAGGTAAGAGAAGCTGCGCAGGATGTGACAGCGCCATCACTCTGCCCCACCCAAATGGTGTTAAAAACTGAATGGCTGCTGCTCCTGATCCCATCATGCCCCCGTCCATTGCGGGCTGCTGGGTCTGCATCTCGTTTTGCATCGTCGCCTATTCGCACCCAGTGTGGCAGTTGTGACGCTAGATTGCTAACGAGGCAGAACAAATATGGGAATTGCTTTCCAGTGTACATTGTGTTGTCATCAGCTGCATCATACATTGTCATCAGCTGCATCATACATTGTCATCAGCTGCATCATACATTGTAATCAGCTGCATCATACATTGTCATCAGCTACTCTTCATTGCTGTCCTCCGAGCTCTGCAGAACGCCCCGTTACAGGGACGCATCTCCTCTCCCCCCCGTCTACTCTGCTCCTCTCATCTCTCCCCCCCTCTCCTCTATTTTCTTCCCCCTTCTCTTCTCGCCCTCTCTCCTGCCTCATCTCTTGCTCCCCTCACAGCTCAGAACTTTGCGCGGTGCAACGCCATGAACATCCCCCCATCGAGTGCCATGGCTCGTGTGGTCAAAGACCTATTTCATTCCACTGAGGACCTTTTTTCACTCCAGTGAGTTGCAGGGTGACGGGTCCCTTGAGAGAGGGAGCAACGCAAGCAAGAGGTAGGGGGGCGGGGCAGGGGCGGCAGGGGGCGCAGAGAACGCAGGGGAGAAAGGGGTGGAGGAGAATGGGCTGAGTGGCAAGTGCAAGGGGGCGACGCACAGTGGTAAGTGCGGCACACAGTGGTAAGTGCGGCACACAGTGGTAAGTGCGGCACACAGTGGTAAGTGCGGCACACAGTGGTAAGTGCGGCACACAGTGGTAAGTGCGGCACACAGTGGTAAGTGCGGCACACAGTGGTAAGTGCGGCACACAGTGGTAAGTGCGGCACACAGTCGTAAGTGCGGCACACAGTGGTAAGTGCGGCACACAGTGGTAAGTGCGGCACACAGTGGTAAGTGCGGCACACAGTGGTAAGTGCGGCACACAGTGGTAAGTGCGGCACACAGTGGTAAGTGCGGCACACAGTGGTAAGTGCGGCACACAGTGGTAAGTGCGGCACACAGTGGTAAGTGCGGCACACAGTGGTAAGTGCGGCACACAGTGGTAAGGCGGCGCCGGTGGACTCGCTCTGCGCACGCCTCGCGTTGCATGTGCTGTGCTTCGGCACCTGCAACATCCAATGTGATGTGATGTGATCCCCGCCCTCCCTCCCCTTGTTGCGCTATCTGCGCCCCTCGTGGCATCCCTTCACACCCACATCCTGCATCATGCTCTCCTGTCCCCTGTCGCATCCTGCTTCCTGCCCACCACTCCCTGCTTCCTTCCTACCACTCCCTGCTTCCTTCCTACCACTCCCTGCTTCCTTCCCACCACTCCCTGCTTCCTGCCCACCACTCCCGATGACGATGGTTGCCCTCGCGACACACGGCACTGCACAGCAGTCGATCCCCTTCCTCTTCTCGCGCGAGTGCTCACTGTCTTCTCAACAGGCGGAGTATGGCTGCTCAGTCCATTCAGCCCCCGCGCGCCTCGTGCTCCGCTCGTCTCCTTGGAAGGCCCTCTGCTTCCCAGCACAATTCAGTTACTTTAAGATCGAAACGGCGTGCGAGCGTCGCCAAGCTGTCCACGTCGGACGCGCCGGCGTACTGCCCGGTACTGCTGAAATGCGCCAAACACGGTGAGCGGCGTCGGCGTTGCTACCCGTGCAAGCGAAATCTTTCTCTCAAGAGCAGCCCGCCCTTATCTTGGAATATCGGCGTTCCGTGATGTGCTCTAGAAACAGCTGACGTTCAAAGACAGGGCGTGTCCCTTGAGCTACACTGCACCGCTTGCGATCGCCTCCGACATGATGTTCTGGCGTCATGCAACGCTTCGCATTTGCGAAAGCTACACGCGCCGGTTTCCATGCAGATCAGTACCGTGCGAGTGTGTCACGTTCCCTGTCCGCATTAGTGAGCAGCACGGGGCAGGGCCGTGACGTTCGCGGGTTGACGGCATAGAGGGAGCAGCAGTATGCTCAGGAGCGAGTAGTAGGGATGCGTAGGCGATGGCAGGAGAAGGCGAGGCGGAAGCGGGGAGAGAGACGTATAAAAGGGGGTGGTTACTGGTAGTTTCGTGGAAGCGCAGACGAAGGGGGAAGCGGCTTCCAGTTCAAAGCGAGCAACATTGCAGCATGTGTCAACCGAAAGCGACCGCGTCAACAGGACTCTCCTGCCCTTGATTTCCATTTTCAACCTCCCCTCCGCCTCCTCTCGCGCTGATCTGCTCACCTCGCAATTTCGCCTGCGATTCCCCTTCCTCAATTTCTCTTTTCCGCTCTTGCATCATGCTACAACGGCTTCTCACCTACCGCACCTCTTGCGAATGCGCTTTCCCGACGCCTGCTGTACGGAAGCGCATTTATTGGCAGCTTCGCGAAAGCGCAGACGAAGGGGGAAGCGGCTTGCAACTCGAAACGAGTGATATTGAGGCATGTGTTTGGCAAGATAACCTTCAATACCAATAGTGAGTCGACCGAAAGCGACCGCGTCAACAGGAATCTCCAGCCCTGGATTCCCCTTACCAATCTCCCCTCCGCTTTCTCTCACGCTCGATCTGCTCATACTCCCGCCTGCAATTCCCTTCCCTCATAGATTTCTCCTTTCCGCTCTTGCATCATGTTACAACGGCTATCACCTACCGCACCTCTTGCGAATGCGCTTTCCCGACGCCTGCGGTAAGGAAGCTCATTTCCTCACCCTGCGACGCCCTCCCCGGCCCCCACGACCCTACGCCTTGCTGCCTCCCGTAGATGTGAAATATGCCACAGCGATACGGACGGTGGGGATCTGTTCCCCTCCCCCACACCCGACACCCTCCCCCCTCCCCCACACACACCCCGCTCCCCCTCCTGAACCCCCCTTCTGTTCCTTTCCCTCTCCGCAGTGCACTTGCCCAGAGCCATGACAGTGTGCGTCGGCAGTAGCGTGGCAGCTGTATGGCGGGTAGGAGCCGAGGGATCGGAGGAATCGTAGCACTCGTTGACGCAGCAGCAGCAGCAGCAGCAGCAGCAGCAGTAGCAGCCCAAGTGTCGGCTGCAGCTGGCCTGCATGCAGCAGAGATTCGGGTGGTGGGTTTGGTGCTGACTAGAGGCCAACGAATGTGCAGCGAAGCTATTTGCTGCAGCAGGTCGGGCGGCGGCGGCGGGTGAAGCACAGGGACGAGTCGAGAACCGGGACAGGGGTAGACACAGGTGCATGTGCATGGGGGATCGGAGTGGAGGGATCCAACTCAAGGACTTGTTGAGGCAGCAGCAGTAGCAGCAGCAGCAGCAGCAGCAGCAGCAGCAGCCGAAGCGACGCTGGGTGCTAAGTTGGGGTGCAACAGGCAGGATTGGTGCCGCGATTGGAGCTGACGAGAGGCTGTCGATGTTAAGTGCGGTAGACAAACGGAGCGAGTCGAGAGAGGGAGCAGGGCACAAGCAGGCGGAGCTGGATCATAGTAAGGTGTGGGCGTGGGAGCAAGCTGCAGTGAGGTTGGACGAGTGCTGCTGCGCACTCACGGAACCGGCGCACGGGGGAGACAAGGGCGAGCTGCTTGGCGCACGGGGGAGACAAGGGCGAGCTGCTTGGCGCACGGGGGAGACAAGGGCGAGCTGCTTGGCGCACGGGGGAGACAAGGGCGAGCTGCTTGGCGCACGGGGGAGACAAGGGCGAGCTGCTTGGCGCACGGGGGAGACAAGGGCGAGCTGCTTGGCGCACGGGGGAGACAAGGGCGAGCTGCTTGGCGCACGGGGGAGACAAGGGCGAGCTGCTTGGCGCACGGGGGAGACAAGGGCGAGCTGCTTGGCGCACGGGGGAGACAAGGGCGAGCTGCTTGGCGGCGCAGCCCCTCCACCCCCTCTCGTTCTCTGTTTTCCGCCCCTCTGCCTGCTGCTGGGGCCTCGTCTGTCAATCCGTTCTTCCTGGCAAAGGCTGCAGCCAGGCAGGTAGCACCTAGGCAGGTAGCACCTAGGCAGGTAGCACCTAGGCAGGTAGCACATTGGGAGGTAGCACGTAGGGAGGGGGTTGCGTGTGGGTTCAGGGGGTGGGTAGGCTGCTGAGGTATGTGAGTGATTTGACATTGCACATAACTCAATCAATCGTGGCATGCTGTATGCGTAGCTATTGCTTTTTGGATGCGAATTTCTGGCACAGTCTCGATACGGACGTGGCGTGTTGGAATGGAAACAGCTGGAGAATCGCGGAATGGCCAAGGGCGAGGCTGATCATGCTTCGAATGTGCTTGTTCCCGCCTGCCCCCGCCTTTGCTTTGCAAGCTCGTTTTTCGCCTTTCACTTGGGGCTGCGCGGCGACCTCTCAGCTCATGGAACCTCCCCGGCAAGCAGGTGGCTGTTCAGAGCAGCGCAGCGTAGCGATGGTGGTGGCAGTGCGGAGGCTTCTCCTCATCCTCTCTCTCCTTTCATCCATTCCTTCCTGCTGCCCATGCCTCCTCCCTTTGCGCCGGCGCATATCCGCGCCTTATATCTGGCGTTGGTTTGCTATGCTATCATCCAGATCCCCCCTCCCACCCACCCACCCGCCTTCCACCCCCCCCCCATCCCCGCCGCCCTCTCTCCCCCCAACCCCTCGCCCTTTTTCTCCCCCATCCCCCCCTTTCCGTCGAGGAGTTCTCGTTCGGCAAAAATCTAATTTTGGATCTGACCGCCGCATTCGCCGCGGGTGAAGGCACTGCTGTGGAATGCGCGAGGTGTCTCAGCTAACGGCAGCCGGGCGATCACGGTGGCCTCGCATGTCCGCGCCAGGTATGACATTTGTGTAACGAATCTGAGCGTTGCTTTCCCCTTTGCCGTGCCACTGCTGCGGCGTCGCAGCTGACGGCAGCAGGTCGAGGATGGTGCCAATGCAGAGGTGGGAGAAGCCAAGTTGGATGGACGGACGTCAACCTCGCAGCATCATTGCTGTCATGTTGTCACCGCTGCATTGGTTGGATATTTCATATGTGTGACCTTTTGACACTCTGTTCTTGGTTGAGATTTGTTTCTCTGTTTTGGTAACACGGTGTTACAATGTAAAACAAATTCTATGCACCGTTTTGGTTGCCTGAGATTCAGCATCAAATACAGACACTGTCACTTATTGTGTGCATCATGGTTGAACCGACCCTACTTCCTACTTTGCCGGGCCACATTTGCTAATCCAGGTTTTGAATCTCAGCACCGCTGGTTCCAATTTCGCAGATCTCCCATCTATCAATTGGCTTCTGTCAGCCGAACTAAGAAACCAGCTTTGCTCCCCTTTCCCTCCTTTTTCCCTCCCCGTTCACCCCCCGTTTCCTCCCCTTTCCCTCCCCTTTCCCTCCCTCTTCCTCCCTCTTTCCCTCTCCATTCCTCTCCCTCTCCCTTCCCTACTCTTTTCCTCCCCACTCCGCACTCAGGCATGGTGGGAGTGGCATACGAATCATGATGTGCACGTCAGGGGACAATGTCCTCAGAATCACCTCTGACGTGCCAGACCAGGGAATGTGCATGGGGGTTGATGGGTGGTGGGGTTCAGGGGCAGTGTTTGAGCGGGAGTGCTGGCGACATGAGATGTGCTGCACCTGCTGTTGTGATGCACGAATCAATTGCTGAAACCAAGAAACTGCAGGTGCTCATTCAGATGTGAGGGAGAATTGACAGGCAGTGTCAGCCGACTGTACCAGCTGTCCTCACTCCCCACTTCTCACTCTTGTTTTTCATGTCTTGACTCGTTTCCTCCTTTCCCAAATTACCTACCCTCCTCACCCAAGGAGTCGCTCACTCTCAGCAAAATGGCAACTGCACCCCCTTCTTACCAGCTGGACAGGCGACATCGACTTGCACGTGCCTCCATGCAGAGAGAGTGCGCCAGATCGAACCGAATCTCCCGTCCAACGCGATCTTGTTTACAGCTTCAAGCACCTCATCTCGTACCTCATCCCACCACACCCCATCCGGCACCTCATCCCACACCCCATTCCACCCCTCACCCCACACCCCATCCCACCCCTCACCCCACACCCCATCCCACCCCTCACCCCACACCCCATCCCACCCCTCACCCCACACCCCATCCCACCCCTCACCCCACACCCCATCCCACCCCTCACCCCACACCCCATCCCACCCCTCACCCCACACCCCATCCCACCCCTCACCCCACACCCCATCCCACCCCTCACCCCACACCCCATCCCACCCCTCACCCCACACCCCATCCCACCTCTCATCCCACACGCCATCCCACCTCATCCCACACGCCATCCCACCTCATCCCAAACCCCAACCAATGCCTCATTCCATGCCTCATCTGATTATCCGATAGCTTAACACAGACTACACATCCCTCTCATTTCTGAATCACTTTCTCTTTTCGCAGTCCCTTTCCTCTCTTGCATGCCCCTTACTCATGCGTGCTCTTCACTCAGTCGAAGCATAATCTTCTCTTGCCTCCTGCATGGCAGTAAAAGGGCCATATGGGTCAGTGATGCAGCGGCATGTGTGACGTCTACCCTTCCCATGCAGGCTCAGGCCCACTTTTGCTTCACAGCTGCCCTCCATCCCATTGATCATGCCCTGCTGTCCAGATTAGCCAACGAAATGCCGTATAGCAGGCTGTTGCACATGCATGTGTGTTCAGTACGGTTTAAAACCAGGGTCTCATGTAAGAGAATTTGCCTTCAACTGCAAAACATTTGACGCTCGGTCACCCTGTTTGAGTAGGCAAAGTTTAGTGGTAGGTCTGGCAATTCAGTGTGCGACACCTTTCCGATTTTGCCCCTGATTCATTTGCAAGAACAAATTGCTGAGTACTTGAGGCTTTCGGAAAGCTCGTACATTTTGCTGGTAAATTTGCTTCGGCACCGAACCACAATCCAAGCCTAGAAGGTTTGGATGCACCCTGCGATTTGTATTTCCTTCGCGCCCCTCGCTACACCCCTCATCAAGCTTTACATCTTGCCAACCAATCCTAGTCAAGGCCCATTCTTCAACTGCAAAACAAATGAACTACGTGAGACCCAGGTTTTAAAATAAATGTGGTGGAAGTGTATACAACATTACCGCCCCGTTGGTTGTGAACTCAAAACTTGACAACAGGCTCAAGCTTGGACCCAGTACCGGCCAGCGAGTCTACCATTTAAGATCAACGCCTGCGCAGTTGTCTACACCGTTGGAGTCTCATGTCCAGGCAAAAGTTGGCACGACACGAATTTTCCTAACGGTCTGGTCTGTTACGATATGGAATAGTTGAATAAACATTCCTGAGTAACAAATCCTTAACGCGAAGATGACAGCAGCGAGGACGAAAGATCAACCGACGAGACAGTTATCAAGACAGTTACAAGCAGGAAGAATTTGAAGTGCAAAGCGCGGGAAATGTTCAAACGGTTACCGGACCGCGTACGGTTACCGAACCGCACGGTTGCGATGCTGCATCTAGATTAGCCCTAAGGGGAATGTACCCCCTCAGAGTACATGGCTAGCTAGGACCTTTCGTATTCCACTCTATTCCTATATAAACCACTGTACCGCATTGTAATATTCACTTCTGTCGAGATTCAAATCTCCTTCTACTGACAGAGTCCGTACCCGACATTACCTAGCAATCTTCCGCTGCTACACTCCGTGCGATCAACCTGAGACGATCCTATAAGACGGTTCAGATTGTATCATAGTATGAGAGCCACTCAGGATTCTTGTGGTGCTCCTCCGGCGTCGCCACGGTCCCTCGGGCAAAGCCGATCAGCCCGGCCATCTCCAGCTGGGGCTCGATGGCTTCCTTCCAGGTGAGAATTTCCTGTCGACCAACGAGCGTCGGGGTGACCAAGATCCTGTCCGGCGCAAACTTGAAGTAGCCGTAGCTCGGTGCAATCCCGCCCGCCGTCACCTGTGTCGCCGACATCGGCGACATTCCGCTTCGACGCCCTCCGACGTCGCCCTGCGAGGAGCCTGCAGCCGCCGACGACTGCATCCCTCGCGCCTGAACGCCGCCGGCTTCACCGGCGTGTATCACACCTCGCTGCCTCGACGTGCCTCCCGCACTGCTGCCGACCTGACCTCCACCGGCGTTGACGCCCACGTCGACGCCGCCGTCGTTGTTCACCGGTCGAGGAGAGGCAGGCCGAGAAGGGGGGTGCTCCGCTGCCCACACGGAGCGGAGTCCTGCCTCGACGACCGCCCAGGGTATCGCCCCATGCTCCTGGGCCTCATGGCGTCTCCTCGCATCCTCCAGCTGTGCCTCCAGGGTGTCCATCACCTCGGCGTCACCTACGCGCACGCTAGTGACTGCACGGCTGCCGGCCTACGAACACGGTTGGTGCAAAGTCGGCTAGACTGAAATTCGTCGCGGTGTCGTCCACCCTCACCGCACCATGCGGAGATAACTTTAGCAACGGGAGCTAGGCTGCGGGCTAGGCACGGGTGCTCGTGTGATCTCTGCGTTCGTTCTTTCCTTAGTCGTTTCCTTGTGCACACACACTTGCTAGTTCACGGGGAAAGTTGGCAAAAGTTCCACTAGGAAACGTTCAGAACAATGGTTACAACAACATTGGCAACACATACTAGATCAGAGCTAGCTAGACTGCTGGTCGACCTCCAGCGCAGCATGGTCGACCGCGCTCCAGCGCAGCAGCGCTCGCACCGCTCCAGCGTTGCAGAGTAGCGGTGCGCCAACGTTGCAAGTCCATGGTATGCCAACGCTGCAGCAAGTCGGCTGCACTTGCACCCGCAGGACAACGGTGCACCTGCTTCGCAGGTGCGCGCAGCTGGTTGGCGCTCCACACGTTGTCACGAGCACAGCGCAGACGCCTGGCAGACTCCACGCCAGCGACTGCGCCCACCAGCCACGTCGACCTCGGGATACCACCCCCGAGGTCGGCCTCGCAGACTCCACCCCGGCGACACTCGCGCACGTCGCCCGGGTATCCCGGTCGACCGGGCAACCACGCCTGGTCGACCAGCGCAGTCCGTAGCCCGGCCACACATGCCCGGCGTCCCCTCTTCAGCATCCAAGCGTCCAGGACGCCGTCCAAACACCCAGGTCGGCGTCCAAGCGCCCCAGGACGCCGTGCAGACCTCCAGAGCGGCGTCCAGCCTCCCAGGACGCCGACCAGACGCCCAGGTCGGCGTCTGGCCTCCCAGGACGCCGTGCAGGCGCCCACGACGTCGACCAGGCGCCCGGGTAGTCGTACCGACGCCCAGGTCGGCGTCCAGCTTCCCAGGACGCCGTCCAGGAGTCCAGGACGCCAAACGAGGCGTCCAGGGCGGCGTCCTCCTGCCAGGCACCCTCCAGCCAGGCACCCTCCAGCTCGGCGCCCTTGCAGTGGCCCCCGTGCCCACTGCTGCAGGTCGGCTGCAACCCCCGCACATCCGACCACGAGGTCGGCTCCGCCCAAGCGAGGACGGGGCCAAACAACACTCACGTTGACAAGCTCCAGCTCCTCAAGCAGCTCCAGCACCAGCAGTACCTCCAGCAGCTCCAGCTCCAGCAGCACCTGCACCAGCAGCACCTCGCTGGCGCCTCCAGCGGCAAGCAAACCACTCGCGCAGCTGCGGTGGAGAGAGAGGCTCCCGCCGAGACGAGGCACCTGCAGGAACTCCAGCAGGCTCAGCACCCCCAGTCTCAGCAACCGCAGGCTCAGCACCTCCAAGCTCAGCACCCCCAGGCTCAGCACCCCCAGGCTCCGCACAATCAGACTCAGCAACTCCAGGCTCAGCACGCTCAGGCTCAGCACCCCCAGGCTTTGCACCCCCAAACACAGCAACCCCAGGCTCAGCACCCCCAGGCTCCGTACGCTCAGGCTCAGCACCCCCAGCAGCACCTTCCCCAGTAGCAGCACCAGAGTCAACCGCTACCTCGACAGGCTCGACAGCGTCTACCTGGGACACACCTGAGGGAGCAGGACCCTGAGGGGGAGGGTGTCTACCGGAGGAGGACCTGGTGCAAGGAAGAGCGGCGGGGGGGGGAGAGGGGCAGTGCGGTAGGGGAAGAGACGGTAAAAGGGAACCGACTCGTCGAACGTGACGTCCTGAGAGGGCAGGACACGGCGCGAGGTGGGGTGGTAAAACTGCCAGCCAGGCGCGTCAGGGACAAAGCCAAGGAAGACGTAAGGAATAGCACGGGCGGAGAGCTTGTCCGCGGTAGTATCGCGGACAAAGGCACGAGAACCCTAGACCCGAAACACTGACGCATCGCCAACCTTCCCCGTCCAACGCAGTGTGGGCGAGGTCTCCGGCAAGGAGAGACGGGGCCAGAGGTTGAGCTGATGCGCAGCGTAACGGACCGCAAACGGCCACAGAAAATGGGGGGCAGCCGCATGGACTATGGAGGTACGAGCGACCTCCATGACTAATCCAATGCGGCGCTCTGCAATCCCATTCTGTTGCGGTGAGGCCGGGAGTGTGAACGTCTGGCGAATGCCCTCCCCACGACAAAAGTCCCGCAGGAAGTCAGAGGCAAACTCACCACCTCTGTCAGAGTGCAGACGCAGGACGGGAAAGTCCGTCCCGAACCGCTCGCGGAGCTGGAGACGGGCTGCGCGGATCCAAGGGATCAAAACATCAGGGACCTCACCCTTGGTGCGCAAGGGGAAGACCGCGGTGTAACGCGAGTAGTCGTCAACAACCAGCAAAAAGTACCGCTCGCGGTCCTGTCCACGAACGCGGGTTGGGCCCCACACGTCCATGTGTAGGGTCTGCAGGGGAGCAGTCGTCGGGGGAAACGAGGAGGAGTGAGGAGCGGCGCGCTGCCGCCCCTCGACACAAGGAAGACAGGGAGGAGCAGGCGAGGGAGGGAGGGGAGCGAGCACCCTAGGAAGACCAGAGACAAGGACACGGTGGTGCATGCCACGAAGGCGCTGCACCGAGGGGTGACCAAGACGGTGGTGCCAGAGGACAGTCTGGTGCGACAAGGCGCGACACGAGCAGGGGGCCGCTAGCTGACCTGACTCAAACGCAGACGCAGACGCAGACGCAGCTACCTGAGGGGACACAGTAGTCAGTGTGTACAGACTCGAGCCAGGAGCTCGAGTGAACGTGGCCAGGTGCCGACCAGTCCGGGAGCACGTACAGTGGGTCACACGCTGACCTCCAGGAGTGAACTGGTCAACCCACTCATCCTGGAGGGCAGCTCCACTCACCAAGTTCGTAGAGAACGAGGGGAGGTGGAGACCCGACAGTGAGCCAGACAGGACAGCCGGACACGGCAGGACCGTGGAGGAGTGCGCAAGGACGGGGCCCCCAGAGGGGTCCGCCAGGGAGACTGC